TGTGTACATGTATGTTAAATGCAAACCTCAACAAGCAAGCAGAGGTATGTTCAATGGGATCGTAATCTCTGACATTCATTGTAATGTTAGAGACTATAGACAAAAAAAAAATAAATAGATCCAACATGTTTCAATTGAACAACTGATACAAACATGCACAATGTACAAACAAACGCAGACATACACAGACATGGACACACATGCATGAACGAACATACAAACATATATGCATAGATAAATACCCAGTGAAGACCAATCAACATTTTTATTCTACCCATATTACATTTCGAAGTTTAATTTTATGACATTTAACGGCAAACTTTTTTCTACGAATTTCTTTTATTACAATTAATTACTGCAATATTGAAACATATTGAATTGTTTTTTTATGTTTTAAAATTTTAAATTTTGAGGTATCAAGCAATCTCGTCACAAACTGAAACAAAACTCTTACATTGGGCCCAATGACGTTTTTTCCATCTTCAGGGAATAAACATTCTAAAAACAGACCAGTATTGCGTTTGTTGATTTCAAACTTTACAAAAGTAAAAATATTCATGAGCGTTTGATTAAAACTTAAAATCAGTCTCGGATATCCAACATCGAATTTTGACACTCGGCTTAAAATGGTATAACTTCCTAGAGACATTTGAACTGCTTCTCGATGTTCAATCTTGTTTTTGATGGTTAATGATATCATTTGTCACCAGCATTTTAAGGTTGGGTAATGAATATTTCATTAATTAAATCTCTCGTAAAAAAATTTTGTTTACAGAGTTCACTTTTTCAAACAACATCCTTATTTCAACAGTCGTTTTTCCACAAATTGTTGATCCCCAAATCTTTTTAAATTCTCATCCAGATCGTCTCGCCATTTTTTGTTGGCACTTCCAGGAGCATATTTTGCTTGCGATTGATATTGGATACTTTTTTTGAAAGAGCCTGCTCCGCCCATCCTCAGCGGATGTCCCGTCCATCGCATTCTTTCTCTTATCACTTCTGCCGTTGTTTTCAGCTGAGTTCAACCTGGACGGGTAAATTTTCATAGCATAACGTCCATACGCCTGCATCTGCACCGGCATCACACAACTATTAGAAATATACGATGTTTTTAGTTTTAAATCGCGTTTTTTTATTTTTGAAGTATAATACTGCCAATGCTGCTATTCCTTTTTTTGATTTCTGTTTCTATCCTTCCATCACCATCAGCTGTCAGTTTGATTTCCAGATAAACGAATCTTTGGAGAGTTTCAATTTTTATCTCTTCGTAGTCTTATTTACTGACCGGCCATTCTTCTTGTTGTTTCGAAACTGGCAACATTTTAGTTTTTCCCATATTAACTCTTAACCAAAATTTTTTGTTTTCTTCTACGATCATCCAACGACATCGTAATCTGCAATGTTGTCATCAATATCATATCCAAAATAACTTTGAATGACACGAGATATCAACGATCAAATTTGTAAATACATCTTATAAAAATTTCCAAAAAACATAATTTTCTGAAAAAATTTTAATATATTTAAACAAGGTTTGCATTTCATTCAACTTTACCTTTATATTTCAATATTTTAATATCAATCGCTTGGATACATGTTGTTTAAAAATTGTTGCACTACCAGGCACACTACACGCACACACACACAATTGTGTCTTTGTAGTACACAAGTGTACAATTATTCGATTTTTAGAAGTAAAAAAAAAATTATATTTAAATACGGTTGGCTTTGAATGTATTTATTTAAAGATGTTTTTAAGATTTGTGGCTGACAACCTTTTTTTGGTCGTAATGTCTGGCTGACAACCTTACCCTTTTTGGCGAACATGGCCTTGCGAGTCGTAGTTTTCCCACCTTTTCAAAACAGAATAAAAAAAAGAAGAGTAATACTTAATTAATTCTTTTTTCATTTTATATTATCATTTAAAAACATAAAATGAATACAAACGGTAAAAGATTAATTCATTAAAGATAAATTAGAATAGCAAACACAATAATACTGCAACCTAAGAAAAAACAGCAGATCAGCTGACGCTGATGTTTGGCAATGAGGAAACTTAATAGCTATGGTGGCAAAGGCGCTTGGTCTTACGTTGATGTGACTACGTTCAAATGCAGAAAGACTCCAGTCTATCACAACGTATAATGTATGCAATGCCTGTTTTCACGGATATCTCTTTTCTCTAATGCGCCATGTGTGTTTGTGTGTATGTGTGTTTGTTTGTTTGTTTGTGTGTGTGTGTTTGTTTGTTTGTATGTATGTGTGTTTTTCCTTGTTTGTGTTTGTGTGTGTGTGTGTCATTGAGACTTCTGAAAATTATTTTAAAGATATCTGTTAATGATACCATTCAAAAATAGCACGACTTCACAGATGTTATTTTTAAAGTTAAATAAATAAATGAACGAATAATAATGTTTAAATAGTTTGACGAATGTATGTACATTAGAAATTATGTCATTCTGCATCAAATATCATAAATTTGTTGCAAAATAATCAAGAATCGATTGATACCTTTTAGAGAAAAATTTATACAATTGATATACAGAAAGTGAATTTTCGATAGAGAAAAATTAATTAACAAAGTCTTCATATTATCCAATGTTATTGCGTGTTTCCTTATTTTAAAGTAAGATGTTTGAGAATTATATCTTACTATTTTAAAAAATGTGCTCTAAAATAGTTGTAATGTTATAAAGTTGAATTTGTTTACAGCTATAATTATAACATTGAAACATTTCTTCAAATTTGATTGAAATTAATTATATTTCTTCTTATTGAGAATAAGATCAATTTATCAAGTACACCAGACGATGGAAGTAAATGGGCCGTAAAAGATATGGTTTACTGCTCTCTAGGAAGCTGTTATTATCATTCTGCTTGGTTATGCATACATTAGCAAAACTTGTTTTTGTTATTATTGTTGTTTTTACTATTCTGCACATTATTCAAAACATAGAAGGAACATGTGCCACTTGGTAACCGACCGACAACACACGTGTGTGCGCGCTTGGGTATATACACAGAGAAAAAGAGAGAGAACATGAGAGATAAAAGTAAGAGAGGAAGGAAAATTTTAACGATACTCAGAAATTTTATTTTCAATACCAGCACTAAATTTTTGAAGTATTTTCAGAAAACCCAAAATCATACTAGCATTTATTCGTTTTAAACGGTGCTACGTTGAACCACTCCACTAATTTCATCAATATTCAAGTGTTCGAGAATTAAAAACGTACAAGATAATTTTACACATCACCATCCTCAACCGGACTAAATTTTAAAGGTCCTATAGCAACGAAAACATTGTGGCCATTTCTCCGTCCAGTCATCAAAAAGTGATTGCCGACGAATGAAACAATCTAACCAAAAAATTCGTAAGCTTTTCATGAAAAACTAAATTATGGAGTAGACGAATAGAACAAGTAGTGTCAGTAAAAATCCAATAAACTGGTTAGAATAAAAATTTTAATGTTGCTGTCCCATCGTAACTTGAATATTTGTTTACCTTTCTTGTGCAAGAAGGCCCGGAGCAGTCACCCCACATGTCTTTCTTTAAATCTGTGTCTTTCTTTAAATCCGGATCATCAAATTTGGAAAAAATTAAATTTTAGGCATAATAAGAAAAAGTTGTACATACGACGAGTCGGTTAACGGCTAAGGCGCTTAGTCCTTTTGTTGCGGTGACAGGGCCCGATTGCGAAAGAGTGCCACTACTTTCATGTCTTTTTTTTATGAATTTGAAGAAATATTATTTTAGTGGTCACGGTTTTATCAAACAACTGTCAAATAGGAAAAGAAAAAACCCATGGCAATTCCATCAGTTTGTTTGTAAAGTTGTTTGTCGGGACTATGAAATGGGGCTTCCGTAGTACATATTTCAAAAAGTTTTATAAGATGGTCTTTAGGGATATCCAGTGAGGCGATATTGGAGTGATACATTTTATCAAGAATGATATTAATGGTATCTATTACAGATACATTGATAAACAAGGATTCAACATCCAATGATGCGATTGTAATACCAGTTGTCGAATTGGATGTTGTCAACACTTTTACGTGTTCCCATTATCGATGATTTCTCTGTTTTTAAATTTATTAGTAGGAAGAAAAGAATTCCAATTGCCCGTGGTTGAATATTTATTATCGGATGTCTTTGTTCTATGAGTATTAATTCGGGTAGTCGTAAATTATAATGGTTGTTATTGTAATGTAAGATTTCAACATTGGGGTCCAAGATTTGTCTAGTAATTTTAGTTTTGTGTTTCTCTTAATCTTCGCAGCCTGATTTTGTGCTACCTGCAACTTTGAAATCCATTTATCTGATATTCCGTATAAAAAGAAGTTGCAATAGTCCAGTCTAGCGTAAATAAATGCATGCATCAGTGACTTGAGAGCATTTTTGTTTAAAAACATTCTTATTTGACGAATCTGGCGCAGTTGGTAAAAACAATTCCTGACCAATTCTGAAACATGTGGACCCATTGTCAACTTTGAATCGATTTTATAGCCTAAATTGGTAACAGAGCTTAAGAATTCAATTCTACACCCACCAATGTTAATATATATATATATATATATATATATATATATATTTATATATATATATATATATATTTGAATGTAGGTGTGCGTGTTTGTGTATGTATGTACTCAAGGAATAGAGTTGTCATATTCATCATATAAGCTAAATATTCTTTTTTTCATTGAATTTGTTATTAAATTGTTTTTTTAATTATTTCTAATGAATGTATGTAAAATATTATTGAAAATAAATACAAATAAATGAAAATAATCAAGTTTTATAAAATGAATTGAAACTGATAAAAATAAATTAAAATAGAATACAAAAAATAAATTGGAACAATTCCAATTAATTAAATAGACCTTCTTCTCGTTGTAATCGATAACGTCAACAAATTTAGTTATAAAAATACATTTATAATTTGAACGTTCAGTTATTCTATTTTTATAAAATTAAGAACAAATTTATAACTACAGCAATGAAATTTTATAACTTTGTTAACAAACAAGTTTTGTTTAAAATTTTCATTTACGTGATACTCTTTGCTGCCGTTATTCTGCTCTTCCTTGATAACAGCCAGAGACTAATCTGGATGAAGATGTACGAACACAATGTCAGTTTTGAGCAGACAGCAAATTTAAATCTTCACAACGAGGAAACATCTTATTATTGTCGCACAGAAGGTGATCAGAGATTAAAAAATTTATCAGATGATAATTGTATTATGAAATATCCAAATGTACATATGCTGAAACCTGATTTGACCGGCAGTTTTTTAGAAAGAATTAAACAATATAATAAATACATTTCAGAATATCGAAAAAACAATCTATCACACAAATATTCCGAACCTTGGAAAGATGTTGACCCACTTAACAACTTGACCGAAGTTTGGGGCAAAGATGATAATTTCGTTAATAAATTACCTCTAGTGCCTAACGTGAACGTAATTGTCTTACCTTGGATAAAACATAAATTTGAGCTTGAAATGGTGAATGTCTTGTACCCTCACTATTATAAATGGACCGCATCGGATCCGTTCTGCCAATGGATCGAAACCGAAGGTTTTACAAGAGCTCACTATGACACAGTTTATAACAGAACGTGCAACAGAAATATCTCTCACCCATTAGTTTGGAATTTATGTATTACCATTCCAAACCAGTTGATAAGCTAAGCTACTGGCCAAATAACGGACGATCATATCCAAGTTACTTTCACAGTCACCCACCTGCTTATGTTCTTTATTTAACAATTCTGCAAGATGCTGTCATAACTCCAGTTGGAGATGTTATCACTGGATCTCACATGATAATTCCATTCACGTGTAGTCATATAACAAATCCAAGCATACCGCAAAAATCCGCTATATTTAAAGAAGTTTTTATCATAACTCAGTTTTGGGGAACTTCTTATTTTCACAAAATGTTTGAAGATATGTCAAGATTAGCCCCATACAAACAATTTCTGCAAGAAAATAACCAAATTATGATTCACGCCCCTGAACAAAAAGGACAGGTCTCAGAGATGTTGGCTAGTTTTGGAATAAATTCTGAGAGAATTATAACAGGTGATGTCAGGGCAAAAATTGTCTACCTACCACAGGCTACTCCGTGTGGTTTCCCGCAAGTCCAAGGTTTTCAGTTGCTATCACATTATTTAAAGTTGTCATTAAATAAGAAGAATAATAACATTACTGTTGGCTCCGACTATGTAAATAAAACATTTATTGGTAGTAACAGAAAAAACGCTGAACTAAGGAAGATACTAGTTTTGATAAAACGATCTGGACTGCGACATTTTCGTCAGCAAAATGAAATAGAAAATGCTGTTAAAACATTTTGCAATCAAAATAATTTAACGTTTGTTCTGTTTGATGACAATCCAGTTCCATCGTTACCCGAGACAATGTCCATCTTTCATTCGTCATCATTTGTGGTGGCTCCACACGGAGCTGGCTTGGCGAACGTCATGTTCTGCAAGCAGGGAAGCATCATCATTGAAGGGGTGTGCAACCCTCCACACGTTAATATGTGCTACCAATTCGTTTCTCACGTGTTGGGTATGAGGTACCACGCTATTCCATCCAAGTCTGGCTGTGAGGGCTTCATCGACATCGATCCCGGTTCGATTATTCGTGTTTTAGAAGTCATCATCAGTTCTAACGTTTCGTCGTGGTACCAGTGGCAGTGACCTCAATTGGTTTTTTAATTACTCCATTAATGTTGAATGTTGAAAGTTTTGCCAAACTAATAATGCCTTGATAATCAAACCATTAGAAATAGTTTGTGGCAATATATTTTAAAATGTATAAAAAGAGTTATTGATTTTCAAAAGTTATTGTCAGCTACAGCTCAACAAAGAACCTGCAATTTAGGCACTCAAATGTTGTCTAACTACCGGTGATAAAAACAAAAAATTGATGTTTGGAATCAGGACTTGGAACTAGCTTGCAACTGATGTTCAACAATGGCAATTTTACTCGAAGTTCAAGTCTGAAATCTACAAACTTATAAAAACTGATACAATTTGATCGTTTTTGTTTTTTCTTCTGTTTTATCTTTTCCCATTTGACAGTTGTTTGATTTTGTTTAAATAATTTTCCGAATTATGATAGACATATAATATTTTTAGTGGTCAGAAAACAGTTAATAATTTATCACGAAAACAATTTATTTTTTTATTATATTTTTTTGTTAGTTGAGTGGCCGTACAAGCTTTTGGGCTTCTGGTTAGCCTTTTTTTCTGTGTTAACAAATCTATATGATGCAACTTTTTCATTTTCAGGTTCTTTTCCAGTTGCAAAGTTTTATAAATTCATAATTACGTACCATAATCATATCCCATCTCGTTGATCAAAGATTATTTATGTATTTTTTATCAATCTCTAGTTTTATTTTACTTAAATAATTATGCTACAACAGTATGTAAATGTTTCTTTTTTTATTGTTTTTTAATATTTTTAAAAATTTTCATTTGATTATTTATAAAGATATCACTTTACAACCTAATTGACTGACTGACTGACTGACTGACTGACTGACTGACTGACTGACTGACTGACTGACTGACTGACTGACTGACTGACTGACTGACTGACTGACTGACTGACTGACTGACTGACTGACTGACTGACTGACTGACTGACTGACTGACTGACTGACTGACTGACTGACTGACTGACTGACTGACTGACTGACTGACTGACTGACTGACTGACTGACTGACTGACTGACTGACTGACTGACTGACTGACTGACTGACTGACTGACTGACTGACTGACTGACTGACTGACTGACTGACTGACTGACTGACTGACTGACTGACTGACTGACTGACTGACTGACTGACTGACTGACTGACTGACTGACTGACTGACTGACTGACTGACTGATAAAAAGTAATACTAAATAGAGCACATCACTTTTATTTGTTTACAATGAAATGTTAACTTAATTTAAATTGTTAAGTTAAATTATTAATTTTTACTTTCAATTCGTTTGTTCCAAATTTATTTATTTACTTTTTACCTGTTAGATATCAACTAAAATTTGTCATTTAGTGAAGGAGAGAGCGTTTTATAAAAAAAATTAAATGTCGTTACGAAATAAAATATGTTAAGTTAAAGTTTTAATAAGTAAGTTCGTAGTCAGGGATTAATCATAAATTAAGCATTAAATAAAATAATAATATTTTTAAATAAAATTCATAATAAAATTTAATTGAAAAACAAAAAATTTTTTAAAACTATCAATTCTTAATTTTGAAATTTATTATTTTGCTCATCTTTTTTATTATCAACTGAATATTTAACAAGTTACTGGTTAATAATTCAATCAACTTATTTTATAATCATTATTAAAATTAAAAATGTAGGTATTGATCCGAGAACATGACATATGTTATTGAACTGACAGATAATAATATAAAAATAATGGGTCTGCTGAATCACTGCACCAAATTTCAACTGGTTTTTATGGCAGTGTTTTTTGCCTTGATGCTATCCTATATGTTACATAAGTACGTAAACAATAAATATGTCAGTAATCATCATAGGACGTCACAAAATAATTACATGGGAAATTATGCAGACCCTTTTCTGGAATCCACACTTCTGCTTGAGAAAATACATAAAATTGAAGATGGTACAAACAAAATGACAACGACCAATGTTCTTGACTTTGATATGCTAAAAGGTTCACTGACTGATAATATCAATGGCGAGGACATTGTGTTGAAACATCCAGCAGAAATTAATTCATTTGATTTTAATAATAATTACACCCTCGTCCATAAAGAAGGTGGTGTTGTCATTCATGATTATAAGAAAGATATTAGTAAAATTGCCAAACTTGATGATTATACCAGCAATGAAAATGATAACATGTATGGTGAGCATGACAAGTTCGTAGAATTACAAAATTATTCAGAGTTCAATCATATAATTAGGAATGAAAATGTCTTTGTGTTGGAATCTAATTTCACTCAGAGCTTCTTGATGAGATTAAGAAACTTTAATGATTATATTTCTCAGTACAGAGCAGATATTTTATCAAAGAGAGCTTTCAAATCCTGGCAAGATGTTGAACCACCAAATAAGTTACAAGTCCTGTGGGGAAGGGATGATGGCTTTATCAACAAATTGTTGTCAGTACCTAACATTAAATTAATTGTTTTGCCATGGATCAAATATGATACCGAGTTTGATGGGAAAAATGTCTTGTACCCTTTTTATTACAATTGGAGTGCTTCAGATCCTTTGTGTCGATGGATTAAAATGGAAAAGTTTACAAAAGCTCACTGGGATGCAGTTTATGGAAAAAAGTGCAATAAAAATATTGCTAGAGGCATATTACCAACTAAACTTGAATTCATGTATTTTCATTCAAGACCTGTCAATCAACTTCACTATTGGCCTAATGATGGGCTGTCTTATCCGAGCTACTATTTCAACGAACCGCCTCCGTATGCTTTATATTTAACAGTCATTCAAGATGCTGTGATAAACTTGGTAGGAGATGTCATTACAGGATCTTACAAAATTGTTCCATTCACATGCAGTCACGACAATATTCCAACAATACCCATTGAATATCCAGAGTCAACTGTCTACAAGGAAGTTTTTATTGTCACTCAATTCTGGGGAACCTCTTATTTTCATAAGTTGATTGAAGTCATGCCAAGATTAGCCCCTTACAGAAAGTTCTTGAAGGACAATAAACAGGTCCTGATCCACGCACCTGAAGAAAGGAGACAGGTGTCTGAAATGTTGAACATATTAGGGATCAATTCTGAGAGGATTATAACAGGTGTTGTCAGAGCAAAAGTGGTCTACCTACCACAGGGCACTCCTTGTGGCTTCCCACAAGTGCAAGGTCTCCAATTGCTTTCACATTATATGAAGTTGTCCTTAAATAAGATGCAAAACAACATTACTGTCAATACTGACAATTCAAATAAAAATAAAGCACACAAATCTTTATTACCAAAACAACTGCTTTTGATAAAACGATCTGGATTGCGTCGTTTTCGTCAGCAAAAAGAAATAGAGAATGCTGTTAAAACTTTTTGTGGTAGAAATAATTTGACGTTTGTTTTGTTCGATGACAATCCAGTTCCATCGTTACCCGAGACAATGTCCATCTTTCATTCGTCATCATTTGTGGTGGCTCCACACGGGGCTGGCTTGGCAAACGTCATGTTCTGCAAGCAGGGAAGCATCATCATTGAAGGGGTGTGCAACCCTCCACACGTTAATATGTGCTACCAATTCGTTTCTCACGTGTTGGGTATGAGGTACCACGCTATTCCATCCAAGTCTGGCTGTGAGGGCTTCATCGACATCAATCCACAAATTATAATCAATGTTTTGCAGGCATTTTTTGATTTTGATGTGCCTATGTAACACATATTTTTTTATATTTTATATTTTCCCCATTTTTTATTTTTGATTATTTATGTCGATGACATCAATTTTAAAGGTTTACATATCTTTACGCTCATTAATCTACGTGTTTATTAATTTATTTATGCAATCATGTGTATCTCAATTTTCTTTGTTTATTTTTTCCATATTTAAAACTTTTCATGTTACGGTATGTATCAAGAAATGTATCTTCATTCAACAATACTTGTTAATTCATTTGTTAAATACCCAAATCTCTATACACGCTAAACATGCCTAATGACCATTTTACAGGAACATAATCTTGCGTGTCTGCATTAAATTTTCAGTTTTATACTTATTAAAAATAATTTTTTAAACGCAGCCGTACTTCATTCATTTAGCATCTGTACAAGATGGCCAGTCCTTGCACTCGAGATATTTTTTAAGCCATCACAATATTAAAATTCCATATAACTTTATATGTATTTATTTATAAATGAAGTTGTTTAAACATTTCATTTCTTCTTTGTAGTCACATTTTCGATTCAATTACGGTTGAATGTTTGTTATTTACTTCACTTAATTCACAGCAGCGGATAATTTTTGAAACTCGTTTCAGTTACAAAGTAGTACAGTTAACGTTTTAATGAATAATAAAGAAAACAAGTTACGTTATAATTAGTTGTTCTATATGAAATGTGGCCTGATTTCAATTTGATGACCGAACGTACTGTACATTAATATTTTTAATTTATTAAACTTTGTTCATATCCATGAAAACTGATTAATAATCCGTTCTTTTGATTTTTCTGAATGGTGAAAGTTGTTTAAATTAAATTATTTTATCCGGTTTTATAGCTTTTTAGCACATCTTATTTGCCTTCTTTACGCCATTTCCCATGTATATATAGGCCACGTACAACACATGTTCGTTGAATCATTTTGTTAATTTTAAAAATTGCCAATATTTTTCCTATTCGTATCAGAAAGTTTTTGAAACTAAATTACTGATATATAGATATTCCTTCAATGCCCTTAAGATGTTGCATAATTTTAAGAATGAATCTAAAAATTTGGGAAATAAAATTGAAAAAATATTCTACAACTCGTCTAAAATTCGGTAAAATATTTGGAATTGTGATCGACCAATCAATATTTTAAATTATTGCCGTTTATTAAACCATTAAGTTTTATTTCTAAAGTCCTCAGTTTTAAAAGTTGTTCGAATGTCAACCTTGTTTCAAATTTTGAAAATGCTATAGGAGTATCGGTTCGTGTTTATTTATATCTGACGGTATTGTAAAAAAAAATTTATGGCATAGAATTTTTATATATTTCCATTGATGACGAATAAAATCATAATAAGAAATCGTAAATATAAATAGACCAAAATAAAAACGAAACTATAAATTACTGTTTTTCCATTCTAAAGTAACTTTTAAAAAGCACATCCAACTAAGACTGGTTGTTAAAACTTTCTTGGTAATATTATATTTAGTCTACAGAGAAGAATTTTAAAATTGTGAAGCATTCGTCGAACAAACATCAGCGATATGGGCTTATACGATGCAATTGAACGATTGAACAGGCAGATCAACATGTATGGTCCTATCTGTGCTACGCTGACATGTAATGAATCAACAAATCAATTTGGGAACAGTTTCCAACACAATAACTTTTATTCAAATCAATTTCGAAATTCCTGCCATCAGAATAATGTGTTTCGGGGGATGACGCATAACAATTGCGCGCCGCTACTGCACGCAAGTAATCCTCATCCGCCGATATTAATAAAAAAGCGAAGTGCGTCTTCATTGTCTTATCATAGCACCTCTGAATCATCTAACTCATCGTCCACATCATCAACCTCACTCAGCTCCGAATCTCTCTCATCATCGTCGTCGTCATCATCTTCCTCGAATGCAAAATGCGGGCACCATCACTCATCAAAAAAGTTGAAAAAGATGACCAACAAATTTGACAAAGCACAAAAAAGTTCAATTAAAGAAAACATAATCCCCTTTGTGGCTTCTCAGAAAATTAGTTCCAATGTTAAATTTCCCTACACTGTTTCTGATTGTGTGGCGAATATTAATGAAGTGAACACTTTGTGAATCTCATTAATTTTTTCATCTACTTTTAAACCATTTAATTATGTTCATCGTTTGTGGTTCAAAAAAATTAGTTTATTTATTTATTTTTATCATCAGTTTATTTATACTCTACTCTTTATAAATAATAAAATGTTAATTATCTCCAACAAATACGTCTTCTCGGATGCAATGGAACTAATAGATCAATCAATTAAATTAAATGACGTCCATTTCTTTTTTTCTTGTTCGTCAATTTAATTGAATTCAATGTTTTCACCTTATGTCTATTCTGTAATGCCAGGTCTTTCTACTTTTCTTTTCCGGTTTCTCTTCTGAAACAAATCAATGGCAAAAATATTAAAAACACCTTAATATTAATAGCGATATTAAACAATCAATTATGTAATCTCATTTGAAATTTTGATTTTTAAAAACTATACGGCCATTGTTAAATTTTTCGTCCTAAGAAAATTTATTATAAATAATTCCGCAAAAAATTAATTTTTTTTAATTTTTTTTTGTGAAGTTTCAAGCAAAGGCTCCAGAAAAAAGTCAACTTTTATGTCCAACACCGCAGAAGCAAGGTGACATTCCCCTTAGAGAAAATATTCTGAGCACAGGGACCAATCAATCAACTAACCATAAAGTTATAAAATATTTTCGTTTTATAAATAACTGTGGTGACGGTATTGTGTGGCAGTTTACAGAATAAAATTTAAAAATGGCATTTGATAGGAAGAGGAACCCAGAACAGATGAATATGAGAAAAGCTTCAAATCCAACAATTTCGATATCGAACATGTTTTTGTAAGTTACAAAAACATTTTTGTTAATTTATTGCATTATCTATATTCCAACTGCCGACGTTTTTTTGTCTCATATTTTTCTTTAAGGATAAATTGGCACGCATGACTAAAGAAACTGAAAATTTGGCCAAAACATTGAAGGTAATCACACTAGTATCTTTATTTTATAAGTATGGATATATAAAGTATCTAATTGTATAACTCAATATTGTTCCGGTATCACCGTTCAATCGACTGTGAAGACATTGATTGATCCTCTAGAGAAGATGCAACAGATGAAAGAAAACGAAAAACCACAGAATGTTGAGTTGATGAAATCAAACCAAGAAGATATTCAGAACTCAAGGAATCACAACTGTCATGTTGCTCCGTGCTCTTTTCAAGTTTCTTACAATTTTTTTTCAACGTAAAATTATTTTGACACTTTATAAAATATCGTCCTTTTTATTTTAGAATATTGAATCCGAAAATTTGAAGCAACCAGAGAAAAACAAGAAGCCGTGGAAAACAAGGTAGAAGTCATCAAATAAATTCGTTTGCTTACGATGCGCTATTCATTTAGCTACACACTCTTTTTTTAAATTATTTCTAAATACTATATAAGGTTATAAATAAAGTTGTGTTCAACACATTTACTCAGACACAATAAGATCGATCAGGCTAAACCTCTTCTTAAATCAGGTACCGACTACTTCAAATTCGGTTTATTAAAAAAATTATTGAAACAACGAACATAATGGAATAAATTGATCTAAAAGGGTTATTATAATGTTACAAATTTTAGAGAACACTGGAGCGGTGCTGAGCAGTTCAACGGCGAATCAGATCGAGAACCTAGACATGATGGTCCACCTCCTGCTGTCCAACAAACGAATGCTGTTGGGGAAGAAAGAGATGGAATGCGTGAGCGAGTGTGCTACTAACAGGCAAGAACTAACCTCGCCAACGACGAACACAAGTGAAACACTTCAGAATCAAAAATTTGAGATAGATCGGCATTTACAGACGAAATGCACCATCGAAGAATGGCTTGACAAGTCTGTGAAAAGTTCAAACTCTACCATTCATTATTCAAACGGGGAAAGTATTAATGAGAAGGAGAATAGCGGTACATTGGCATTTCAAAAAGATGATCAAATTCAGTGCGAGAATGATGTCATCCAACCAAACAACGACATATTGACGCTCGGTTCCGACTTTGAAGATACTTCACGAGACCATTTACGCTCTTCCCAATCTCCAAAAAACCTACTTTTTAACCTCCAGGAAATTAAAATAAATAAGGTGGTTTGGTAATGTTAGACTGCAAAACTTATAATTATTTATCAGAAAATATTTTTATAAAATTGACAGATTCTTTTACGAGTTTATTACATACACTGAATTTAAATTAGCCCGCTTAAAAACTGAATTTGATATTTTTGTTGATGGAAAATCGAAAGTGAAAAATTTCTCAAGCTCTTGTAACTTTATTTCAGACAACAGGTCTCTTAAGTTACGAGACAACAAAAGTTAGTGATTGGACAGTCGACCAAGTGGTGGACTGGCTGACCAGGACGGGATTCAAGAGCATCTCAAAAGTTTTCAAATCACGGAACATAAACGGGGAGATTTTATTGAAATTAACTAAAAAGGACATCAGGGTAGGATTAATTTTTGAGGCGTTTCATTGAACATTAACATGACTCTTTCAAATTAAGTTGCTCATAAAAATATTTGTCCACATTGTTTTATGTTAAGCACATAAATTACTAGAGCAATGGCAAACATTCATTATGGCGAATTTGACTAGTCATATTTAATTATTTTTGACATTCTACAGCTTCTCAACCTCGGATTTGTCAAAGCATTTAAATTCAGAAAAGTTTTGAAGAAATTAAAAAATCATATTTTAGTAAAATGAACGAAGCATTATTTAAAACTCTATATAACGTTTATTACATGCCTTATCGATCAATTATCGTTATTAATTTTCAAACATTAGCAATGGAGGCATTTTATTTTAACCCGTATTGGCACACTATTATTAATTTAGTCAGGGCAATCATCATCATAACTGACATCCTTCCGATCCATCAGAAACATTATCACCATTACCGATATTGTTACAAACATCATCATCATCATCATATGATGTCATCATCGCCATCAACATCATCATCGTCGTCACCATCTTTCCACGTCATCACAACTATCACGACGTCGATTGATAATGATCAGTGTTCATATCGTTCAGCCCTAGTTCTTCGTTCTGTTCGTATGTTCTCTCGTATCTCTCAACCTTCAACTGAGGATCGTCTTCAGGAGCGTTCAAATTCTACAAACAACGAATTCATTTCTTTTATCTTTCTAATTAATTAAAATTTTCAGTTTTTAGTTGCAATTTCAGTTGCAAAACTCATTTTGAATGAACGTTTATGAACGAAAAAACATTGGATGAACATTGGAGTCCGATGACAAACAGACAAAAATAAAAGATTGAGTTGCGTTTAAAATATCAACGATTCATAGAGCTAAGTATCAGAGAACAACACGCCAGCAACAACAAACAATCAGAACATATCAAATCCAACAAGACACAGCAAGCAACCTGTATGTAACTGTTGCCAGCAGGGTCGTCCAACACCAAGTGAACATCACTCCTCTTGCCTTCAATTATCTGATCCAAAAGATGTGCAAGATATTATTAATGCATTGTAAAACCATTAAAAAATTATAATTAAAATAAAAATAGATCACTCACTCATAAAGCCATGGCTTAATTTGCAACCAATTTTTGTGTAGTTGATATGTCTTTCTTAAACTGAGAACCAAACAACCAGTTAGCCAGCCAGCCAACTTATCAACCAATAAACCAATCAGTCATTCAACCAACCAATCAAATAAACAACCAGCCGACCAACGAACCAGCCAATCAACTAACTAACCAATCAATCAATCAATCAATCAATCAATCAATCAATCAATCAATCAATCAATCAGCTATTCAACCAATCTGCCAAAAAACCAACCAACCTGTTGCAACTTGGCACAAAAAGCTGTCATCTTCGCCTTCGTATCATCCTGGCAACTGTCACCACTTAAAAACGGATTCCTCTCGCTCAGCTGATGTAATGGTGATGTAGATGATTATGACGATGGTTGTGGTTATAATGAAGATTGTGATGACGGTTTGGTCGATGTGATTAAAATGAGTGACTGCAACAATCATAATGATTGTGGTGATTAAGACGATGACTTCGATTATGAGTACGAAGACGACAATGATGATGATGATGACGGTGATGGTGTTGATGATGGTGATGATGATGGTTACAATAGTGATGATGATGATGGTTACGATAGTGGTGATGATGGTGGTGATGATGATGGTGATGATGACGGTGAACAATATCAAAGAACGGCTTCGTCCCCAGTGCAATCACTGCAAACAATATTCATCGTCCACGTCTGTATCCATTTATCACATACTCATCATTCATCGTCGTCATCATTTCTTCGAGGTCATCATTAACTCCTTCGAGATCATCATCAACATCATCTAGATCATGGTCAACATCAGCTAGATCATCATCAACATCATGACGTCATCACACATTTCTCCAAGATCATCCTTAACATTCTCACGATTACATTATTATCATAATTATCAATATCACCATCAATATCATCATCATCATCAACATGATCAACTGCAACAACATCAACATTTTCATGATCATCATCATCAACAAAAACAAGAGCAACCACAACGTCATCATCACCACAACTGACTTGTTCCTTAATTTGAACGAGCAAGCCCTCCACCGTCGTGAACCTCCCACCCAAGCTTCCATCCACCATCTCAAAATCCAGCTCTGGAATGCGAATGCCCGCCGTGTCCGACTAAAGTGGAGTGTGTGTGTGTGTATGTGTGTGTGTTTGTTTGTATGTGCACGTAAGAAAAAGAAAGAAAGAGAGAGAAAAAAGAAGAGAGAGAGAGAGAGGGATAAAGTGAGGGATATGTTTGTGTTTCTTTGTATGTGTACGTAAGAAAAAGAAAGAAAGAGGGAAAGAGGAAAGAGAAGAGAGAGAGAGAGGGGGGGGGAACAGTAAGGACCATGGACGATCGGCAGCCAACCTTTAAAAGGTCCCTATTTAGATCCTCAAGTTTAATGAGGTGCAACGTGATTCGCTGACCTTGAGGTTCGATCCCCGACCCACCCTTCACCTCGTTCTCGCGGTGGCCACACGCACCACACGACGTCGCCATGATGACCATTTGCTTGAAGTATGGGATGTCTGTGTTGTTTATCAGATAATTTTTGGGAATGAATGAATGAAGAAGTGAAGGAAGGAGTGAATGAACGAATGACTCAGCGGTGATTCAACGAATGACAATCAATCAATAGTTCAATCATTCCCACATTTTTCATTTTACTGACCAACCAACCAACCAACCAATTAACCAACCAACCAGCCATTTAACCAACCAGCCAATCAACCAACCAACCAGCCAATCAACCAAACAGCCAATCAACCAACCAACCAACCAGCCATCCAGCCAATCAACCAGCCAGCCAACCAACCAACCAACCAACCAACCTACAATCTTCATATTTGTTGGACAGGCTGCTGAACAGTTGGAACAGATCGTGTTGAATGACACCACCTGAATACATCAATGACATTAACATACACAATGGAAGAAACATTAATAAAAAATCAGCAAACACATTAAAATAACATTAACACATCCACAATATTTATAATATTAAGAAACATTAACTACAAAGAAATATTCACTCGACATTTAATTAACATTATTCACAAACTTCAACACACACTCAACATTGAAAATAATTAATTATTAATATTATAATAATTATTACAATAATTATTAATAAATAATAATATATGTAAATTAGTAAAAAAAAATTGATAAAAAGTTACTAATCCTTGAACATACTTCCTGTTGAAAGTCCCAACTCGAATCAGTTGGCCGGTGCCCATTTGAATTTTGAGAAGTTGTTGCTGTTGTTGTTGATGTGGTTGTTGCTAGTGTTGTGGTTGTTGCTGATGTTGTGGTTGTTGTAGCTTCATCTCCATTGACTTCACCATCGTCATCGTCCTAGTATGAAACAAAGTACAAACGGCGTGATGGCTCAATGGTTAAAGACGCCTGGTCTTGCAATTGCTATGACTGGGTTCGAATACAAAGAGATCCCCGTCTATCATATGCAATGTGTATGATGCGTGGTTTGCACGCGTATTCATATACGCTGTGTGTGTTTGTCGGTGAAACCTCTGAAGCAAACGCAAAAGAGAGAGAGAAACCTTTAATCTACACAATTGCATTCATACTTTCGAAATTCATTTCATTCAAAAAGCCCTTCCCAGCAAGTCTGATTTAAACGTCATTACATCTTTAACTCTCCTTAGTCCCATCCTCAAATCAGAACTAATAACCATCTCATTTTGCACATGACAAACAATTACATTATCATTGCACTCATGCACTGGTTTCTTAAACAATGTCTAATCGCTTCAATATCAAACTTGATTATAAGAGTTAAATTAAATCATAAATTATTTTTATTTGCTTTGCCACGATATACACACACGAACAATAACTTGACACACATATAACATACAAACCTATCAACAAACAAATGGCAAACAAATAAACAGACAAGCAGACAGACAGACAGACGCGCAGATAGACGAAGACAACAGAGACACAGACAGATGACAGATTAACTCACGTAGGCACATCCAACCCTGACATCTTGTTCATGGGACCTCTGATAGAAGACTTGTGTAAGGTTGTCGTCATGTTTCGGCGCGTCGGGGTTCTCTATGTAGCTGTTACCTGAAGGGTCGTCTAAAATCTGGATGGGTGTAGTTGAGAAGATGTTGTGTGTGTGTGTGTGTGTGTGTATGTGTGTTTGTGTGTGATATATGGGTATGTAGAAGGGTGAGTGCATCAAACATCAATAAACAAATAAACAACAACCGACATGAGCAATTACAGAACAACACC